TTCACAGGCTTTCAGTCATAAAACCATAGCTTGAGATAATTTTCAGTTTTGTTGTGATGTTATATATGTCAGGTTGAGAAGAAAGGAGGGTTTATTTAGTAGTTTGATTTTTAACTTTTAAAAATTTAGACATGTGGTCTATGGGACTCCATTAGTGTTTTTCTTGGGACACATAAAATTGTACTGAAAAGCAATTTAAAGCAGTAACTGGTATAAAGAAAAATAAGAAAAAGTTTTTAAATAAGCAATTTTTAACCTCAGAAAAAGCACAAAATAAGAAATACGCTTATAATATATTATGAGGTTTGATATATAGAATGTTGGCATAGGTATAGTGTAAATACTGAACATCCACTCAACCAAAAATTATGTTGAGAGGATAGAGAAGGGAAGCAGAGAGAATGGCAGGATGAGAGCTAAGTCCTGAGCTTTCCTAAGGGAAGTCATTACGTAAGATCTAAAATTGCTACTCCCCATTCCCCACAACGGAGGGATCCACCGTAATGCCTCTGCCAACAGAGAAATGGCAAGGTGCCCACAGGTGTAAGGCTAAGTCTAGAACCCAGAACTGGCTGCTGTTGCTAATAACTGAGCCCTCAGCGGTGGCATGCACCGGGGCAGTCAGGAAGACGGGAAGTCCATGAGGTTGAAAACATATCGTCTCCATCACTGACACCACGGCCAATGGTCGACAAGTCCATTTAGCAAGCACCAGGCTGGGTGGCGGCAAAACAGAACTGACATCCACAAAGTGGGTCGTCTTGAACATCTTAGTACCAAGTGCCTCTTCTGCAGTGGAGAATTTCTGCTGAGCATTTCATGAAAGAAAGAGGGATTAGAAGAAAGAAGTCAAGGGAGCATTTGCTTTTTACCTATTTTTTATTCTTATTTTTATTTATCCTTGTTTTTTTTAAGATCTTATTTATTTATTCATGAGAAACAGAAAGAGAGAGAGAGGGAGAGAGAGGCAGAGACACAGGCAGAGGGAGGAGAAGCAGGCTCCATGTAAGGAGCCCAACGTGGGACTCGATCCTGGGACTCCAGGATCACGCCCTGGGCTGGAGGCAGACGCTTAACCGCTGAGCCACCTGGGCATCCCTATTTATCCTTATTTTTAAATTCTTTTTATTTATTTTGTTTTAATTCTTAGCAATAAGAAAGTGTCACATATTACTCCTACAATCAAAAATAAATTTTCATAAAGTAATTTAACTATGGGAAAGTCGCCCTGCGACTTGATCATCACATTCACCTTGCTATGTGATGACCTCGTCTGCTGCTTGCTCATTTCTGTCATAAGGCTCTCCCTCTCCCACTGAGATTAGGTCTCTATCCATCCGCATTCTCAGTCTAGAAAGAGCAGCCAGCAAAGTGCTCTTTAAAGATTCTCATACGTCCTTCACTAACCCATTCCTGTGGCTAAACTAAACTGAGAGTCTTCCGGAATATATCAGGGGATCCATGACGGGTCCATGGGCAGATTGCATGACAGATCTAATCCCACACTCATATATCCTAAATTTTTTTATCCCTTCTTTTAGACCAAATTCTAACTATTCAATGATATTTGGGATTAGCCAGTTCAGTACCTTGTTAGAACTACAGCTGGCTGCCCAAGCAACCACAGTGACTAAAAGTGCAATCTTATCTATTAATTTGGCTTAATTCTAATCTTTGGAATCTAAATAATTCCATTTCCATTTTCCTGGTCAAGAACCCTCAAACCCATTCCTGCAAATATTCCCCATATTTTCATGACATAAATTATCACCAAGTGGATGTTCACACTCAACTATGGATGTGCCACAATTGAGAACTCTATTTCAGATAAACCTAGGAGTTTGGGGTTCTCCAAGCCTTGATTTGCCATATACCACTACTCAATTTGTCAATTCCCCCACTACCCCCCAATCTAGCCTAACCTACCATTCATATAAAATACTTGGTTAAGTATTTGAATTCATGTACTAATATAATTTTCCAAACCACGGAATCATTCTTTGTATTTGGTTTTCTGATACCTCAGCCCTATGACTATGAGCTATAAGAGATTTTTTTCAACCCTATCCCATAAAGGCTTGAGTGTCATTCCACTAAAGCAATATTTTTACAATTACAATTTTTACAATGTCAATCTTCTTGCTTTTAAATCATCCCAAGCCATTAAAAACATCCATCATGGCCCAATCACTCCTCTTCCCCTTTAAATTGGTCTATGGCAAGTTATCTGATTCCCCAGAACTTCCTCTTCAGTGAGTACACAGCCCAATATGACCATAGATAACTTGATTGCTATTTTGCCATTCTGTAGTAGGAATGTAGGAATGAATGCCACCTCACCATCAGGGAACATGAGAGGAAGCCTCCGCCCTTTGCCTTATCTATGTAACTACCATTTCACTGAAGCCATGTTACCTGCAGTTCACTGGGACCACTAGACAGTGAACTCCATGGGGGCACCAGGTCTTATAAATCACTGTATCCCCAGCACCTAGGCTGTACTTGACCCATAGTAGGCACCTAGTTAATACTTAATGAATAAATTAATAAAGCCAAATGTTAATTCCTTTAAGAAATTTTATTTGGTGCTTATTACATGTTTTTCCTTCTGGACTGAATCTCTCAAGACAGAAAATCTATCTTGATCTCAGATCTCAGGTAGGTTTGAGCACCAAGTTGGGTATAGAGATTAGTTTAAAAAAAAAAAGACAGAAATGGGGGCATCTTAGTGACCTGCCTTCGGACCAGATCACAATCCCAGGGTCATGGAATCGAGTCCCATGTTGGGCTCCCTGCTCCACCGGGAATTTGCTTCTCCCTCTCCCTCTGCCTGCAACTCCCCTGCTTGTGCTCTCTTTCTCCGTCAAATAAATAAAATCTTTAAAAAATTAAATTAAAATTTAAAAAGACAGAAACAGAGGCACTTAGTGGCTCAGTTTGGTTAAGTGTCCGACTCTTGATGTCAGCTCAGGTCATATCTCAGGGTCATGGGATCAAGCCCTGCATAGGGCTCCTCAGAGAGTATGGAACGTGCTTGAGGTTCTCTCCCTCTCTCCTTCTATAGCTCCCCCTGTGCTCTCTGTCAAATAAATAAATAAATCTTATTTAAAAAAAAAAAGAAACTTAACAACAAAGACACCTGGTAACCTTGTAACCAAGGTACAGGAAAGAACTCAAACAACGCATACAACAAAACCAACATCCCCACTACTATCATCAAGGGAGATACTGTGAAATAACTGTAAGCTTAGAAATTTACGGGCTTGTCTGCATAGGACTGTAGAAAAGTAGGAACAGCTTAGGTTGCTAACACCTGCAAAACTGGTCTCCCAAGAGATAAACTGCTTTACTTCTACAAAAAAAAAAAAAAAAAAAGTCTTCTTTGGAAATTGCCTGTATTTCTTTTTTTTTTTATCATTATAACAAAAGAGATTCTTTCAAATTTAAACTCACTAGGTATGAACAGGTATTCATAAAAATAACAATTACATCTGATAAATGTTAAGAGGCTGGCTATTAAGAATCCATGTACTTGTTAGGGCAAATCAGTTCAACAAAATTTCTGTTTTTCTAATATCAGAGACACTCCAGGAAAGGAGTGGAGGTAATTTTGGTGTAAAATAAACTTTGGTGGGAAAAAAAACACGTTTGGATGGATGGGGGCAATGTGATAATTAGGGTAAGTTGGCACTGCACACTGCGAAGCAGAGGAGAGCAGGTAAGAGCGGTGAAAGATGTAAGGACAAAATATCACAATTTACAAACCGCCTGGGTTGCTTCAAGACTTAGAACAAAACATCTTTTCCTCTTGTTTCTGCACCTCACTCTTTGCTCACCAATTAGTGTTTCAGTTCACCTGCTTCTAATATTAAGGATTACAGGAAGGATTCTGGGAGGCTTCTTTTGAACATGAGCTACACTAAGCACGATGGTGCATACCCAGTGCTCCAACTGGTACTGCTGAGGCAGCAATCAACTTTCTGCCACTTTGGAAGATCTAGAGTTCTCAGAAAAGTCTTGTGATGATTTCAACACCTGAATAAATTACCTGACATAGAGCTAAAAACAGTTCGGTGAATGCATATGGAACACAAAACTGATTAGCCTCAGTCAAGGGGGAAAAAATCACGAACACAACCACTTTTTATTAATTACTGTATTGTCACTCTATAAAAATATGGTAGCTATTCCATTAAAAAAAAGTTCCACTACACTGAATTAGAATCAGTGTAGTGGAACTACAAATTTGTTTAATTTTTTTTTAGAGATTCTATTTATTTATTCATAAGAGACACACAGAGAGAGGCAGAGACAGGCAGAGGGAGAAGCAGGCTCCCTGCGGGGAGCCCGACGTGGGACTCGATCCCAGGACCCCAGGGTCATGACCTGAGCTGAAGGCAGACGCTCAAATGCTGAGCCACCCAGGTGCCCCTAGAGTCACTTTGCTGAATTCTAGGAATAATTTAATTTCATCACTTTTTGAGGAAATGTATATAAAATTACCCCCTCGCTTTCTGACATGCCGATTATAACATGCCATGATTCAGTGCACAGCCTGTCTTTTTATTTTCTCTTCAGTCTATGGACATTTGCTTCATAAATAACAAAAGCAGAACTAAACACAGAAATAATTCTCAACTTCTTTCCTTCCAGTAGAAAAATTTTCCATTTCTCCATCAAGAAACCAACGTTTAGAGGAAATGTAGGGTAGCAAAAAAAAGTCACTTTATTCCTATTTTAAAAAGAACTAAAAGTGAAAGGAAAATGGTAATCATTATTTCCTTAGTTCTCCTATATGATTTGACTTTTAGTAACCACAACTCCTATGTCCAGTACAGATTTTTTAATAATAAATTTATTTTTTATTGGTGTTCAATTTGCCAACATACAGAATAACACCCAGTGCTCATCCCGTCAAGTGCCCCCCTCAGTGCCCGTCACCCATTCACCCCCACCCCCCGCCCTCCTCCCCTTCCACCACCCCTAGTTCATTTCCCAGAGTTAGGAGTCTTTATGTTCTGTCTCCCTTTCTGATATTTCCCACACATCTCTTCTCCCTTCCCTTATATTCCCTTTCACTATTATTTATATTCCCCAAATGAAAGAATATATAATGTTTGTCCTTCTCTGATTGACTTACTTCACTCAGCATAATACCCTCCAGTTCCCTCCACGTCAAAGCAAATGGTGGGTATTTGTCGTTTCTAATGGCTGAGGAATATTCCATTGTATACATGAACCACATCTTCTTTATCCATTCATCTTTCGATGGACACTGAGGCTCCTTCCACAGTTTGGCTATTGTGGCCATTGCTGCTAGAAACATCAGGGTGCAGGTGTCCCGGCGTTTCATTGCATCTCTATCTTTGGGGTAAATCCCCAGCAGTGCAATTGCTGGGTCGTAGGGCAGGTCTATTCTTAACTCTTTGAGGAACCTCCACACAGTTTTCCAGAGCGGCTGCACCAGTTCACATTCCCACCAACAGTGCAGGAGGGTTCCCTTTTCTCCGCATCCTCTCCAACATTTGTGGTTTCCTGCCTTGTTAATTTTCCCCATTCTCACTGGTGTGAGGTGGGATCTCATTGTGTCCAGTACAGATTAAAGGAAACCTTACATTTAGACCATTTTAATTTTTCAGGGGATGTAAATTCTATCAGGAATAAAATGTTGATTTATCTTTACTTGAATTTCTGTGTTTACCATAAAAAGAAAAGTCACCAGGCACTGCTTAGAAAAAGACTTGAGGAAATGGAGAGATGCATCGTATCTGTGATGAGAAAACTGGCCGTGCGATCACTGTGGTTCTAGCCAATTAGTATCTCTGAATTTCTGAGTCACCTGCCATCATCTCTATACATCACCTACAGAGTCCAGACATCACATTCTCTTTGGAGTTTCCTTTGCCTAAAAAAGACCCTTTCTTTGACATTTTCTGTTCTTGGTAAGATACAGCACTTTTCCTCAGATCACACCAGACCAAGGGGAAGGTCACATCGCCGTAAGTCTCTGACACAGATTCTTGCCTCCGCGTGCACCTGAACAGCTCTGGGTGCCCCAGTGACTGCTTCATGGATGCTCTACAGAAGAATCCACTTGTTACCCATTAGCTGGAATCATTTCACTCCTCCTGCTGATGGATAAAACAGTGGACAGGCCGTCATGCCCACTGATGGCGCTACAGCTATTGGGACCCACCCACAGGTCCCAGCGCTGAGGGACCTGCCAGTGTCTGTGCCATGGCTCCTATCCTTGAGACTTCCAAAGCCTTGCCACTAATGCTGCTGACTCCTCTGTTTTCAGGGACAGCCACCATAATTTCTGCACCATTTTTCTCGGCAGCTACCGTATTTTATCATACCGAGTCGGACAGCGGGGCTGTAGAACTATACGCCTAGACCTCTGCTATACTCAAACCATCTGTCTACCACACCACTAGCTGACTGTCCTTAAATAAAATATAGGCTCCTGAAAAGTCTTCTTTATTTTAAAGAATTATGCATTTGCTCTGCCTTTTTAGGAAGAAATTCATCTTCAGTTGATAAAGAAAAGCTCTTCCTTATTGAAGAGTGCTAGATAATGATAATAAACATAGCGGGGATAATAAAATCAGAAAATCACTGTTTGGCAACCCCTGCCCCCCCCGAGTAAAATAATTGATTTAGGAAACAATTACCAGGGGATATTTAAAAAATAGCAAGTAAAACAAATATGGCAAAATCCTAGCACGTAGTGAATTAAGTAGTAGGTAAATTCTTTCAACTTTCCATACAATTGAAATTTTTTCAGTAAAAAGTTGGAGCAGGGGTAAAATCTCCCCTGATTTACAGTGAAGTGAGTCTCTTCTATGGGAATTGGTATTCCCTTATGTACAAAACCCTGGAGTCAGCTAGGCATGCCCAAGATATATGGACTTCTGCGGAGAACACAGTTTAAGCCTGAGCTGAGAACCTTGCGAGACTGACTCATAATTTTTGCGGATGCCTTCCTTTCCCCCATCCTTTCAGTTCTGCTTTAGAATTGTTTTCCCCTCCCATCTGTTTTAAGAGCAAACCTTGAAAACAAATATGAATTTATAACTACATTGTCAAAACAGGGAGCAATCTAGAACCATCTGGGAAGCTTTCTCAAAATACACGCATCCAGAGCCTAACCCTTTGATGTTTCAATTCACTAGTTCTTGGGTGGGGCCTGGAAATATGATTTTTTAAAAAAGATTTTATTTATGGGACACCTAGGTGGCTCCGCAAGTGATTGTCTGCCTTTGGCCCAGGGGTGATCCCAGGTCCTGGGATTGAGTCCCACATCGGGCTCCCTGCATGGAGCCCGCTTCTCCCTCTGCCTATGTCGTCTCTCTCTCTTGGGGTCTGTCATGAATAAATAAATAAAATCTTTAAAATATATATATAGGGATCCCTGGGTGGCGCAGCGGTTTGGCGCCTGCCTTTGGCCCAGGGCGCGATCCTGGAGACCTGGGATCGAGTCCCACATCAGGCTCCTGGTGCATGGAGCCTGCTTCTCCCTCTGCCTGTGTCTCTGCCTCTCTCTCTATCTGTGTGACTGTCACAAATAAAAAAAAAATAAAATATATATATATATATATATATATATATATATATATATATACACACACACATCAGGCTCTCTGCTCAGTGGGGAGCCTACTTCATCGACTGAGCCACCCAGGTGCCCTGTAGGAATATGATTTTGAAATAGTCTCCAGATAACTCTGATATACTTCATTAAAACAGAGAGGTGTTTCTTTGAAACTAAGGCTTTTACCTAAAGAATCTATATACAGAAGAAAGAATGGGGGTAGATTTAGAAATGGAAAAGATAAATATCAAATTAGGAAACTAAAAAATATATGGATTAAGGGAGATAATTGGGTGAAACAATTAATATGATTCCTGACATATAGCAGGTATTTAAGACATGATAGCTATTATGTTTTAGTAGCTAATGTGTCACTCCTTGGCCTCTTCTATGGAGACTAGTCAATATGGGAAAAGATGACAAGAATAAATAAAATACTTGTCATGACCTATGTGAATTCAGTACTGTAAAAAGATAGCTAACACAAATACAGTAATCCACCCTACATTACTGGGTTTGTAATACTTCATGGTCAATGTCAAATTCTTAAGATGGGTTTTTTTAAAATTTTATTTATTTATGATAGTCACAGAGAGAGAGAGAGGCAGAGATATAGGCAGAGGGAGAAGCAGGCTCCATGCACCGGGAGCCTGACGTGGGATTCGATCCCGGGTCTCCAGGATCGTGCCCTGGGCCAAAGGCAGGCGCCAAACCGCTGCGCCACCCAGGGATCCCCAAGATGGGTTTTTAAAAATAAAGATACAGTGTGTACCAGAAAATGCCATGTATAAAATTCCCCAGGATGTAATAACTATCCAGTAGCTCCAAGGTCATTACGATGGTGTAAGAAAAAAAAGACTTTGAGTGTAATAAATAATACTTTCTGCTCAGCTAGTCACAAATGATACACTGGGGTTGACATAGTTCAAAAACCTTATGTTCATATTATTAGTTGATAAACTATATAAGATGCGACCATATTTAAGGTGAAGCTATTTGCTCTGGGTCTTCCATTTGTTTATTTAACTTTCCACTTTCTTTGGTTTCTTTATGTAACAATCTAAGAGTACAAGTACAGATTTTCTACATGGACAATCTGCACACCTTTTACTTCATTTTCTTGTCTTACTTATTCCATTGGCTAGGGCTTCCAGGATGATGTTGAAAAGGAGGGGTGACGAGAGTCATCCTCGCCTTGTTCCTGATCTTAGTTGGAAAGTTTCAAGTTTCTCACCAGTAAGCATGCTGTTCACTGTAGGGGTTTTTGTTTTGTTTTGTTTGTTTAGATTTTTAAAAATTTATTTATTCATGAGAGACACAGAGAGGCAGAGGCACAGGCAGGGGGAGAAGCAGGCTCCCTGTGGGGAGCCCGATGTGGGACTCGATCCCAGGACCCCGGGGTCACACCCTGAGCCGGAGGCAGGTGCTTAACCACTGAGCCACCGAGGTGCCCCTGGCATGTCCCTTTTAGTCCTCTATCATCTCTTAGCACTTCAACAACTTCCTGCATATCTTACTACTTGCATTTTCCCCAAAATATCAAGTTCTGTCATATGCCTATGTATGCATAGGGGCTTTTCTGTGTTCCTAAAGTATCCTTTTCTAACCTATATTTATCCTACTAAACTCAGCTTTCCAGAGAAGCCTTTCATGATGTCTCCAGGCAGTTTCCCTGACCCATTCATCTTATACAAAAGAAAAACAACATTGTTTTTTAAAATTATAAGAAAAAATCCAAACTTTTAAAGCTATTTAAAATTTTCCCTGTAATTCAAGATGTACAATGAAATAAACTATAAAATACTGACCTGGTTGTAGATTGTGTCCTTTATAAATTCAGAATCTAAGACAGATAGACAGACAAACTCATTTTGACACAGCATATCAACAATGACACAAACACTGAAAAATAAAGTATCATTTTAAGATAAAGGTTAAGTATACATTAAGACTGAAGGCAAACTTGGGTGCTCATTTAGGTATACCTGGATACTTAGGTGTATCACTTCCTCAGAAGTGTACTGTATAGAACATTGGAGTCCTTTTGTTTCTTTTTGTTATTCTGAATGGTTGAGAGCTTAAACCCTGGAGTCAGACTTGGGGCAGACATCAGTTAGAATCTGTTAGACCTTGAGCAAGTGATTAAGCCATCTCAGTTTTCCCATGGATAAAAATAAATAGTAACTAGTGGTGATGGTAAATGATGGTAATGATATCACTTGAATTATTGAAAATAATGTCATTAAATAGACCTCTCTTTCACCTCATGTAAAGTGTTTTGGAAAAAAATTTTTTTTTTTACCATGAATCCTAGTACCCTGCAAATAATAACCTGTCAAAACCATTCTCCAACATAATCTCTCTTTATTCTCTTTTAAAACTTTGCCAAAACAGTAGAATATGGGCTGGATGGAGCCACATTTCAAGTAGAATAATCTTTCTGAACCCAAAACTTTCCTTTTAGTAGTCATTAAAAATAAATCATGCCTAGAAAAATAATTGCTCAGAATTATAGGTTCCCCCAGACATATTTTGCAGGGAAACATAATGGTTTTGAGTATCTCAGAGATGTGGATACGAGAAAACAGGCAAGACAAAGATTTGGATCATCTAGTCATATGTGATATTAAGGGCTGAAATACGTCCCATATTCCTATGTTGAAGTCCTAACCTCCATAACCTTACAATGTGAAGAGCCTTTTTTTTTTTTTTGAGACAGGGTCTTTAAGGAGGTAATTAAGGTAACATGACATCATTATGGTGGACCCTAATCCAATATAACTGGTGTCCTTGTAAGAAGGGGAAATGTGGACACAGACGCAGACAGAGAGAAGACAATGTGAAAACACAGGAAGAAGACGGCCACCCAGAAGCCAAGGAGCAAGGCCCGCACAGAGTCTTCCTTCAGGCTCCTTAGAAGAAGCCAACTCGGCTGACTCTGGATCTTGGACTTCTCGCCTCTAGAACTAAGAAAAATAAACTCCTGTTATTTACGCCATCCAGCCCGTGGTACCTTGCCGTGTAAGCCCTAGCAAGCTAACACATGTAGAAGGGAATACTGGAATGTAAGCTCCACAAGTCTTTTTTTTGTTGATTGATGTATCCCAACTACCTAGAGCAACGCCTGGCACATAACAAGTGCGCAACAAATATTTGTTCAGTGAACTTCTTAATAAATAAAGCAGATTAATAAAATCCTTCCTATAGATGCTCTATTAAATACCATCAGTGTTTCAGTAATGCTTTTTATTCTCAGAAGACCTGAGAACCCGGACTCCCAGTGCTCTAACGCTGTGGTTTAAATGGTCGGCTGCCACACCCAAGTATACAAAATCCTCTGGTGAAACTCTTGGTATGATTCAATTCCAGGAGTAATTTCTTAAAGACAAGAGCTAATAAGATAAAAATGCTGCTGTAATACAATAAATCTGAATCAGTCGACATTGAGAAACAGATCAAACTTGTTAGTCCCATCCTGGGGAAAATATCACAAACAGATGTAACCTGCTCATATTTGCTGTTCCCTCAAAAGTATATGATTAGCTGATTTCACTAAAGACACTGAGAACAGCCTGGATTCACAAATTAAAGGAAAAAAAAAGGATCCCCCTGTTGTTCTTATTAAAGCATGTCTTGTGTGGACACAGGAAAAAGACAGATTAAATTTCCTCTGACTTATTCAATTACATGGCTTCGTGGTGCATGTATGTCTTTAAACCAAATCTATGCCTCACTCTTACCACTATCACCATCAATCAATACTTAATTTCATTCCCTGAATATGCTAGGGAAATAGCAGCAAAATAAAACATAAAAGAAATATGAAATCTATATTCTGATTCTAACTTATTTGCAAACATCATTTATTAACAGCCAGAACAAAAAATTCACCAATTGTAATAGTTATTGAAGTAAAGAACAAATTAAAAGAAAAAAATTAATTTCCTTACAACTTACAGCCCATTGACTGGTCCTTGAGACTCATAGAGTGACCTTCCTCTAGAAGCTCAATTGCTTCCATGTTTATATTCTGCTAAGGACAAAAGGCAATTTTAGCTTAATATTATCCCAAACTCTAGGATCCTGTAAGTCTACTTTAATATTTAAAAATTCCTTTGGAAACTTGCTTTATCTCTACTCACCCAAGCTATATGTTAGCAATCATCATCCAAGCAGATGGCCCATGACTGAAGGGTTTCATGACTAAGGTTTTACTAGACAGTAATAAATGACTTTTTCCTAACAATAGCTAGTGCCCTTCGAGGCCCTAGAAATCTTGCTTCCAAAATTCCTTGGAGATTTACACTATCCCCGACCCATTCCCAAATTGAAAGTATATAATCAATCACCCATCACAACCCTAGTGCAGCTCTTTCTGCCCATGGGTATTGTTCCCATGCTTTAACAAAACCATCTTTTTGCACCAAAGATGTCTGAAGAATTCTTTCTTGGCCATTCTTTCTTTTTTACTACAAACCCAAACATTTCCACAGCAGTTCTGGTAGAGGCGATAAGATTGTAAGTAATTCTTTCCTTGAATTATTTGTAATTTTATATAAGTCTTCATTTTTAAAACAGGTTTCAAAAACCTTTCTAACTTCTAATCGTCACTGGAAGAAAATTTAGGATTAGAAACTCGCCTAAAGGAAGAGGATGATATGCTAATATTTATTTTTAAACTGAATTTAATTCCATTTGATGTGGAAAACAAAGGTAGGAGAAAAATTATGAAATTTCCTTACTACTTACAGCCCACTGGCAAGTCCTTGAAACACTCAAAGTGACCTTCCTCTGGGAACTCAGCTGCCTCAACGTTACTACTTTGCTAAGGGCAAAAGGCAATCTTAGGCTAACCCCCAGCATCCTGTAAGTCTACTTCGACACATAAAAATTCCTCTGGAAGCTTCCTTTATTGTACCTGCCAAGACATGTGTTGGCAATCATCCTCCAAGCATTTGACACACTGATAGACATTTGAAGAGTCTCCCAACTTTTTACAAAACAGTAATAAATGACGTCTTCCTAACAATAGCCAGCCCCCTCAGGATCCTGGAAAGCTTGTTTCCAAAATACCTTGGGAGGCGGACACCATGCCTAACCCCCTCCCAACCTGACAGTATATACTGGGCCACTCCTTAGGACCCCAGCGTAGCTCTTTCTGCTCACAGGTCCAGTCTCCCTGCTTTAATAAAATCATCTTTTTGCACCAAAGACATCTCAAGAATTCTCTCTTGGCTGTCAGCTTAGAACCCTAACATCTTCCCTAATCACATTTATACAGAATACGCGTGAAAAAGCCAGAATATACCAGTTTCCATGGGCAGGCAAAATTCAGCATCTTAAAATCAAAATCTGGAAACATCCATCCTGAAAGTAACTTAAAGATCAAGTCAAAGCTTGTTCTTAGTTTTGGGCCTGGAATTAGCTCCTGGACTGATGCAATCTGAAACCAGAGACAACGAGTGTTTACCAAAGTCTTTGTCCCAAAGGGAGAGAAACCTCTTGTAAGTCTCCCAGAGTGATGCTGTTGGGATTGCTTTGAGACCTGGGCAAAGGTGGCAAGCAGGAGCACAAACATCAAAATCACTTTGCAACATTTTTCCTTTCCAGCAGAATGAAAGCCAAGTAGTTTTTCATGATATGCAATTTGCAATCAAGCCCTCCTCTACAGAAGGATTTAATTAGCTGCTGGTGTATTTGGTCCTTTTTCCTGGGAACCACAGCATAAACAGGAAGCACATGCCTCTGGGGCTTATTGGTTGCAGAACGGAAAAAATGAAGCTGTGGATTTTCTCAAGGATGATTTAGAGAGGAAAGATCATTAAACTACTGGACTCCCCCCCTTATCTTCTCCACGAGGCTTATAAACCAAATGAGCGCACAGCTGTGCTCCAGAGGCAGGAAAACAGTTCTTCGCCCGTACTGACTGGCAGTCAGCTAGGCCGGGCCTTGGGCGTTAGCGCACGGGGCGTTAGCATGTCAGGCGTTAGCGCACCAAGTTAGTGCATCCAGCGTTAGCGCACCGGGCGTTATTGTAACGGGCGTTAGCGCACCAGGTTAGTGCATCGGGCGTTAGTACATCAGGCGTTAGCTCACCAGGTTAGCGCACTGGTCGTTAGCGCACCAGGCGTTAGTACATCAGGCGTTAGCGCACCAGGCATTAGCGCACCTGTCGTTAGCGCACGGTCGTTAGCGCACCAGGTTAACGCCCCGGACGTTAGCGCACCAGGTTAGTGCATGGTCGTTAGCGCACTAGGCGTTAGCGCACCAGGCATTAGCGCACCCGTCGTTAGCGCATGGTCGTTAGCGCACCAGGTTAGTGCATGGTCGTTAGCACACCAGGCGTTAGCGCACCAGGCATTAGCGCACCCGTCCTTAGCGCATGGTCGTTAGCGCACCAGGTTAGCGCCCCGGGCGTTAGCGCGCCCTATCCGTGGCCGAGCAGGGCAGTCACGCCCCAAGCCCTGTGGGAACTGCGCGCTCCTTCCCGCGCTCAGCCCCAGGCTCGCCGCTGAAATCAGAACGCCCACCCACCCTGTCACGCTAACCACTCGGCACAAGCGCTGGGTATTCACCAAGCAGACACCGAAGCGCATTAAAAAGAGGAAAAATGTTCTCCTCACAGGCGAATCTCTGAGGAACTGGCCGCCTCTCCCGCAGCGGTGGCCGCGCCCCCTGCACGGAGGCTGGGGGGGGGGGGGGCAGGGCCTTCCCGGCACACTCCCTGCGGCTCCCGGAGCCCGTGATAGTGATACTCGGACCCTGGTGCCTTTGGCGGGTGTGGCTTCCCGCCACACCCACACCCCTGCCGGGGCGGCCCCACGGGAGCGGGAGGCCGGGACGCGCTGCGGGCCGGAGCTGGGGCTCCCCTCCGCCCTCTGCCCCGCCCGCCCCAGGCTCACACCCGCCCTCCCCGCGGGGGCCTCCCGGTGCCCCTACTGAAGTGCGCGGCCCGCGGGGAGGGTCCTGGGGGGGCCCTAGAGGGGGTCCTCTGGGAGGGTCCTGGGGGGGTCCTCGGGGAGGGTCTTGGGGGGTCCTGGGGGTAGGATCCTCGGGGGAGGGTCCTGGGGAGAGTGTCCTTGGGGGGGCCCTAGAGAGGGTCCTGGGGGGGTCCTCGGGGAGGGCCTTGGGGGGTCCTGGGGGGAGGGTCCTGGGAGAGGGTGGGGGGGGAAGTCCTGGGGAGGATCCGGCTGTCTCGCCCCAGTCCCCGGCGGGCGCGTCGAGGTGCCCCTAGGGGTCGCGGGGCGGGGGTGAGACGGCGGCGGGCGGACTGGCCGGATCCGCCCCCCGAAGACCCCGCCCCGAGGACCGGGAGGCGCGGCGCGGACGCACGGCCCTCTCCGGGATTCTCCCGCTGCGGCTCCACCGCGTCGCGCCCCTCCCGCCCCCCGCGCCCCCCGCGCCCCCCGGCCCGCAGCCACGCGCTCGCCGCCTGCTCGCCCCCGCCCGGAGGGGGCACCACCCTCCTCCAGCTCGGCTGCCGCCCCGCCCCGCCCCACCCCGCGCCCCCCGCGCCCGCACCTTCCCCTCCGACACTCGCCCCCCGGCTCGCTCCCCGAGTCCTTAGGCTCCGCCCCGCGCCCCCCTGCCCCCCTGCCCCCCGCCGCCCTCCCCGCCCTTCCGGCGCCGCCCCGGGGCCCCGCCCAGCCTGGGGCCGCGCCCCCTCAGGCCCCGCCCCCGGCCCGCGGGCCCCGCCCACCCCGCCGCCGCTCTGGAGGGACGGGCGGGGGCGGGGCTGGGGGCGTGTCCTCCTCCGTCCTGGGCGCCGATTGGCCGGGCCGCGCGGGGGGCGGGGCCGCAGCCTGGGTCTTGGGCCCCGGGTCTCCGCCGAGCATTCCTCGCGGCAGCGGCTCTTGCTTTGGGCCCGGGCGGGAGAGCGGCGCCTGCGGCTCGGACATGGCTGAGAAGCGGCACCCGGGGGACGTCGAGGCCCGGCGGCTCCCCGACTCCTTCAAGGGTGAGCCCCGCGCCGCCGCCCCCGCCCCTGCCCCCACCCATCCCCCCGCGGATCCAAGGGTCGTCGCCGCTGCTTGGAGCTCCGGGGACGCGGAGGAGCGGGGAGGGGGGCGGGGGCGCTCCGAGGGGCGCGGGGGGGCGGGGCGGGGGGCGCGCTCCGAGGGGCGCGGGGGGGACCGACGCCCTGGCGGCCGCTCGTGGCTCCCGCGGGGCCGGCGCCGTTATCCCGGGGCTCGCGTGCGGCCGGAGATGCTTCGGGGCCGCGGCCCTCCCGCCCCACCCTCCTGCACCGGCGCCCCCGGGAGACCCCCATCTCCGGGACTGAGAACCCCCCACCCCACCCCTGCAGGCCGAACGTCCCGCGCAGGGCTAGCCCCTGAGGCTTTGCCTCCAGCCCTCCCCGCCCCACCCCTCCTGCACCGGCGTCCCCCCGGAGACCCCCATCTCTGGGGCTAAGAACCCCCAGCTGCACCCCTGCAGGCCGCACGTCTCCCCACCCCTGCCGGCGGCACGTCGCGGGCAGGGCTGGCCCCTGAGGCTTTGCCCCCAGCCCTCCCCGCCCCACCCCTCCTGCACCGGCGCCCCCCGGAGACCCCCATCTCCGGGACTGAGAACCCCCCAGCCCCACCCCTGCAGGCGGCACGTCCCGGGCAGGGCTGGCCTCCCGCGCAGCAGCCTGTGTTCGTGGGAGAAGAGAGGCTCTTTCAGGCAAGCTCCACGTCCCCCTCATCCTGTCCTCCCTCCACTCCCTGGTCCTAGGGACCTGCCTCCGGGCTTTTGTTTCCGACTAGGAATTCTTTGAAGTGCTCCCTCCCTACTGGGGCCTTCCCTGGCCTGAAGGCAGAAACCTTGAGTGGCTCCGGAGCGGGGGACCCTTGAGAGGGCTACCCCCTGAACCTCCGTGGCTACCTCCGTGTGGGGGGGTCGGGTTCCAATGGGGAGGTGACAAGCCTCCCAGGGGTGCTGCTTCCCGCCCAGGGGTGCTGTTTCCCGCCCAGGGGCTCCGAGCGATCCAAAGGAGTTCTGTCCAAGGATGCAATTTCAGACTGGATAACCTTTTAGAGGGGCTGGGGGAGCATTTCCAGGGCCCCACAAAGAACACTGTATTGGACTTAACTATTCTGATTAGTTGTAAAGCCAGCCTCTAATAGAAGCCCCATTTCCTTTGCCCAGCCGTCCTTCCCAGGAGCATCAAAAGAATTATCCCTCAAAATTATCCCTGCTAAGCACATTGGAGAGTAAACAAACTTCCCAAGTCAGTAGTGAATCAGGAAGGACAGATCTGAAGAAATTGCTACTCCAAGAGGTTGACATACTTCAGCGTCACACAGTTTATAAGTAATGGAGCCATATTTTATTTTATTTTTTTAAGATTTTGTTTATTTATTCATGAGAGACTCAGAGAGAGAGAGAGGCAGAGACAGGCAGAGGCAGAAGCAGGCTCCACGCAGGGAAGCCCATGTGGGACTCCATCCCAGGTCTCCAGGGTCACGCCCCAGGCTGAAGGGAGACACTAAACCGCTGGGCCACCCGGGCGTCCCTGGAGCCGTATTTTAAATCTGCCTTTTACTGACTCTAAAACTCGCGTCCACCTCTGTCATAGTTGGTTCTTAGCCTAGGCAGGAAGGTGCGTGAGCTACTTCCCTCTGTGCCCTGACCTGGCAGGAGACTAGGACCTTGAGGACAGTATTGGCAGTTTGGTGAAAGCAGTGGGAAATCTGTTTGCAGAAGTTCGTTGGGAATACACATGATCTATTATTTATACTTAATATCCCTTTAGTTGTTTTTTCATGGTCACAGACCAGTTGTCACTTCTAAGTTCTTTTTCTTGGTTCTATGATTCATTTTTTTAGACAGTTTTTTTTTTCAGAATCTAATGAAAACTATGTGCTCCTCAGAAAATTAAACATACAAATCTTTGCTTAGTCTAGGTCACTTTTTTCTTTAAATATCAACCTTTGAGATGCAACACTAGTAGGAAAGCCATTGTAGAATTTATTAAATAGAATTTATTGAGTGCTTGCCCTGGGTCAAACACAGCCTAAGTGCTTTACAAACATTATCTAATTGCAGCCGTGTAACAGCTCCACAAGGAAAACATTATCCACCATTTTACAGCAAGGGGACTGGGTCTCAGTAGAAAAATCACACGTGTGTGTGCTCCAGAGCTGGGTTTCAAACCTGAGCTATGTGATTTTCCACGTTCCCTATCTTAGAGCTACCTCCAAACAAGGAACCCCTCAGACATGGATGGTGAGAGACAACAGAGAAAGCCCGAAGGAACCTAGCTTCTATCCAGACCTCTTGAATAAGGCGGCTTCTGCAGGAAACAGTGGAATATAAAAGCCCAAACTCTGTCTTTTTATGATTTTGCTGACAGTCTCAGGAATGTAAATATGACCAAACCTAGGGCAAGACTACTTTTTCTTAAAGCCAGTACATTCCCTTTGTAATGAAATGATGGAGGTGGATTGCAAAGAAATGTATTATAATTAAGAGACACGTCAACAGAATATATCCCTTTGGGAGAATGCCTGAAAATAAGCAGAATCAAGGGACTGATTTGTTTATTACAGTTGTTACAGCTGATCGGGCTGGGGAGAACTTTGTAACTTCTTTAATAATTAATCTGAGTCAAACCATCAATGGTCATAAATTAACTCAAACCAATGACCAAGTCTAGTGAAGCTGGCGTGTGTGTGTGTGTGTGTGTGTGTGTGTGTACGCACTTGAGTATATATACTTGATTAAGTAGGTTCTTTATTACATGTGTTCTTATTACCGATAGACTAATTGGGTTAATATTATCTTGATAAAGGAATTACAGTTGTCACAATAATACATTTTGAAGTGTGGAAAGGAAAAAAGTTAGAGATTACAGTCTATTGAGAAAAGGAAGTATGTGCCAGTTCTCCTTCCTCCACTCTTTTTGAATCTTTATTCTCTGCGACTGGTGAAGAAACTTAAACCCCAGGCATTTAGCCTGACATTTCGGAAGATGCAAGCAATCAAGTTATCTGTTGTAAGGTCTCAGACAATAAAAATTACACCAACTTTGTTCAGTTGTGAGCACACTAATGGTAAGAAGGTACAGTGTAGTGAAATGAGAGTGGAATTCACAATTCAAGGATCTGAACTGAGCTCCCCGTTCCACCCCCTACTACCTGGTTCACCTTGGGCACGTCTCCGCCTTCCGTGTCCATGTCCCCGTCACCGTCGTGGGGGTCCTCTTACTGCTGTAACTGTCTCCCAAGGCTTCAAGAATCAAAGGAGAAAATTTATGTGAATGTACTTTTGAAACATTAAAATGTCAACTATTAAGCTATTTGTGAATGGGGAAAACAAAGAATGAAGTTAACAGTGACTGTTCAGAAAACCTAGTAATTCTGCAGGGAATTTAAATTTATGGACAAAACAGTTGTATGCAAGACAGTCCAAGAAGGTTTAGAACTTTTTTGTCCTGCTCAAATGTAGTCTGTTTCTCCTCCAGAGATGGAGTCCCCTGGCAGGTTGTTAGTCTTGATATTTTCTCTGCGGTGTTTAGGTCCCAGAGGGCAAGTCACTTTACTAAAAAGTTTATGCCTGTAAATTGTATCAATATGATCTTTAGGCTGTGATAAAAAAAAAAAAACAGCTGCTATTTTTTGAATGTTTCCTGAGGGCTTTTGTATGAGAGAAGTATTGTTCTTTTCTCTCATTTTACTCCTGAGAAATGTTAGTGGTAGAGTTGGAATCAGATCCCGGAACCCTGAGCTCTTAGCCACGGCCTAGCTTCTTAACCTCAATTAAAAACTGAGCATCTTACGATCTAGTTTCCATATGCTTCTGTCGGCGCCCACCTCCACCTTTTTTTAAAGTAAGCTCTATGCCTAGTGTGGAGCTTGAATCCATGACTCCGAGATCAAGAGTTGCATGTTTTACTGACCAAGCCAGCCAGGCGCCCCTGATTTTTAGTTAAAATGATGTTGCCCTCCAAAGACTTTAATGAGAAAAACCTAATTATAGATATTTAATATGTCCAAATAAATGAGCAGGGGGGAATAAAAAACAATGGAAGAAGTAGGAGGGTTTTGTTCTCAATATATTTCAGGTCTAATCTAAATTTAATTAATATAATTTTTTTAATTAATTAATTTATTTATTTATGATAGCCACAGAGAGAGAGAGAGGCAGAGACACAGGCAGAGGGAGAAGCAGGCTCCATGCACCGGGAGCCCGATGTGGGATTCGATCCCGGGTCTCCAGGATCGCACCCTGGGCCAAAGGCAGGCGCTAAACCGCTGCGCCACCCAGGGATCCCAAATGTAATTAATATAATTACATGAAATTGCTTTTTTCCAATTTTTCAGACTACAACTGTTTCTGTCTTTCCATCATGGGCGATACTCCGTCCATACATATTCATTCTGACCGCTGCTTTGGGACAGGATGATTCTAAAGTGTATTCAACAATTATTTACTTGGCAGATGTTTTTTGAGTACCTGTTATGCTCTAGCCGTCTACAGTATTCGCTCTTCACACTTACCCTCTGAGGAGCAACTCCTGTTAGCCCTATTTTTAAGTGAGTAGCCTAAAGCACAGAAGGTTAAGATATTTTCTCAAGATCATACAGATAATAAGTGGCAGAGCCAGCTTTGAAGCCATCATGCTATATTGTTTTAAGAAGACCAAAACCTATGGGGTAGATGGACCTTGAATAAGGTAATTACAAGAATGATAAATATGTTTTTAGAGAGGGAAGGTGTTTTAGGCAATTAGGAGAGGGGGACCTATTTAAGACTCAGGGAGTTTATTTTTTTTATTTTTTATTTTTTTAAATATTTATTTATTTATGATAGTCACACACAGAGAGAGAGAGGCAGAGACATAGGCAGAGGGAGAAGCAGGCTCCATGCACTGGGAGCCCGACGTGGGACTCGATCCCGGGTCTCCAGGATCGCGCCCTGGGCCAAAGGCAGGCGCCAAACCGCTGCGCCACCCAGGGAACCCAAGACTCTGGG